CCTCACAATTTAGAAACGCTGATATAAGAACACCCTGTAGAGAAAGATGAGGGAGAGTGTCGGACACGGTACGGGAAGAAGGGACGTTACGAAGAGGAACACGAAGAGGGTGAAAGCGAGTGTGAGCGGCGGTGTTCGTCGACACTCGGTCTGCTATCGTCGGAAACGACGATTTGTCAGGGAAGCTCGTTCGTTCAACAAGAGATAACAGCAAACTTTCAGAGACGTTTTGAAGAACGAACATCCGCGAGCTGCTGGCTAACAAATACGCTCTCCTCGTGGACCGTGTCTGGAGCTACTTTGTTACGATTACAAATAGTCGTGGCAAGGTGGACGTGCATGACAAGCTTGGGCTTAGATACGCCGGGGAGAATGTGATAAATATTAGGAAACAAAAAATTGAATGATTGATAATGCGACGGCGGGATTGTATTTTACTGTAATTTTTTATCCCCGAGCGACTTTACTTTATTCGTTCGTTTAGCGTCACTCGTGAGAACTCAACATTTTAAACTGACTGTGATGTATGTTTTCTACTTCCTAATATTCCTAGATCTGTACATCTTGTTATGTTTTTATATTCTTAGATTTCTATACACCCATATTACTATATTTGAAAATCACTGTATTATATTGGCAATATTTTATATTTCTAAATAGAGATATTTTTAGATTTCCGAATTACAAAATGTTTGGAGTTATAGAATTTAGTATGTTTGAATCTCTACATACATAAATCTGTAGTTCCTTAGATCCCTAGACCCCTAGATCCCCAGATCCCTGGATCCCTAGATCCCTAGATCCCTAGATCTCTAGATCCCAATCTCCCTAGTTCCAAATCTCTCTAGTTCCAAATCTCCCTAGTTCCAAATCTCCCTAGTACCAAATCTCCCTAGTTCCAAACCTCCCTAGTTCCAAATCTCCCTAGATTCAAATCTCTCTAGTTCCAAATCTCCCTAGTTCCAAATCTCCCTAGTTCTAAATCTCCCCAATTCCAAATCTCCCTAGTTCCAAACCTCCTTAGATTCAAATCTCCCTAGTTCCAAACCTCCCCAGTTCCAAATCTCCCTAGTTCCAAATCTCCCTAGTTCCAAATCTCCCTAGTTCCAAATCTCCCTAAATTCAAATCTCCCTAGATTCAAATCTCTCTAGGTCCAAATCTCCCTAGGTCCAAATCTCCCTAGTTCCAAATCTCCCCAATTCCAAATCTCCCCAATTCCAAATCTCCCCAATTCCAAATCTCCCCAATTCCAAATCTCCCCAATTCCAAATCTCCCCAATTCCAAATCTCCCCAATTCCAAATCTCCCCAATTCCAAATCTCCCCAATTCCAAATCTCCCCAATTCCAAATCTCCCCAATTCCAAATCTCCCCAATTCCAAATCTCCCCAATTCCAAATCTCCCCAATTCCAAATCTCCCCAATTCCTAGTTTCCAATCTCCCTAGTTCCAAATCTCCCTAGTTCCAAATCTCCCTAAATTCCAATATCCCTAGATCCCAAATCATATTCCTAAATTCTACTTCTATATCTCAGTGTCCCTTCATTCATATATTCCTTGTATGCCCACTGCAAATTACTATTCTTTAGCTAGCTGTTAAAAATGAATTAATAACATTGTTATTTTCCGTTCGTGAAAACGTTTCAACCGTTTCGAATTCAAAATTAAAGGAACCGAATGCATTCAGATTCATATTTAAAAGACAAACACACGTTGCTCGGTCATGCAATCTCACGCGTTTAATTCTTCATACGCAACGAGAGCTCGATCGGTTCTGTTTCTAAATAATCTAAATATTTAACTATAATTATCCGACATTGGCTCAACCCAATTTGCTAACTATATAGAACTTCTTTATTTTACCTTTCTGCTGGATTTCGAAAGAGTAATCAGGTTAATTTCCGTATAATATCCATAATTGAGGTCTGTGATATAATAATACAGCGATAATATTTTGCTTTTGAAAATATTTAGTTATATGACAATTTTGTTTAACAAGTTTAAGTGTGTACTAATATTTTTGTACATAGTGCATTTCAGTATGTACATAAAAATTTTACTTATTAATAATTGATGTGTATATTTATTTTAATTTATACTATTTTAGTATAATGTGTTATATTTACTTAATTTATTATGAATGTGTCCTTTTACGTATACATTATTTTTATGTTTATTTTAATGTATACCATCCTTAAATTTCAATATACATTTTAATGTATATTCTAACATTTTATAAAGTAGGTATTAAAAATGGATCACCATTATGAATATAAAATGACACATTAACGTCATTGCGAATTAAACGCCGACACTCGTTTGACATTATGAGATAGCAAAGTGTTGCTTTGTTCTTCCTGTCAAAATAAGGGAAAAATGAACAGAATAAAGTGCGAAACGAGCATTCGCGGACGGAAAACAACCGACTACTGATTACAACGATGACGAATGGCAGCGCGGAAATTACGAGATGAAGGTTTAATAAGGTATGAGTCGGATCGGGAACGGTCGCCGCCACATTCCCAGCGCTAATTAACAAATCCAATTTTAATCGACGGTCCAATTCGTGTCGGGCGCTCAAACCACCCCCTGCAGACGCACCCCTGGTTGCTACGTGCACTCGTTGCGCCCGCGTAAAAGTGATTAGCGGCTGCTGCACAATTATTTCACGTCAGCCGAATTGATGTTATTCTCTTCTTTCTTGAACATTCTGCTCGCCATGCTACAAACATTTAACTCGTTTGTTATAGATTAAAACTATGCATCAACTTACGGTATTGTATAAATCTCTTTTCTGTAATTCATTTTTTGGTATATGGATTTACGGGATTTTTAAATATTTTCTTTGGTATTCACGATTATTTTAGTGGTATTAGTTTAGGACGTCAGTTAAGGTAAATAGAGTTAGCTAGTGGTCAAAGTAATTTTGTTATAAGATTATTCATATTAGAAGAAATTTGTAAGAAGGGAAAATGGAGGGAAAATAGGGTTGAAAGTATTGGAAGAAATTTTAAGGTATGCAAGGTTTTTATGAAGGAGAATTGAAAGGAGTTTGGAGGAGTAGTTGAGAAAATGAGGTAGAGTTTGAAAAAGCAACTAGTTTGAGAGAGTTTGAAATTGTGACTGAAATAGTTTGTTAGAATTTAAAATAGAGGCTGAAGTAGTTTAATAAAGTTTGAAATAGTGGCTAAAATAGTTTGTTAGAATTTAAAATAGAGGCTGAAGTAGTTTCATAAAGTTTGAAGTAGTGGCTGAAATAGTTTGTTAGAATTTAAAATAGAGGCTGAAGTAGTTTCATAAAGTTTGAAGTAGTAGCTGAAATAGTTTGTTAGAATTTAAAATAGAGGCTGAAGTAGCATGATAAAGTTTGAAGTAATGGTTAAAGTGGTTTGAAAGAATTTGAAGCAGTAAAAAAGGTTGTTTGAGAGAATTTGATAGAGGAGAGAACATAGTTTGAATGTGTTTGAAGTAGTCAGGAATGTAGTTTGAAATAGTTTGAAGTAAGGAGGATGGCAGTTTGAAAGAGTTTGACATTATAGATATGATAGTTGAGTATAGTATTTGACATTGTTTGAAATAGTTTAGAATAGTTTCTGAAATAACCTCAACAAATTTGAGATAATTTGTAAGATAGTCTCTATGAGTTTGATATAATTTCTAAGACATTTTGAGGCAGTTTTTAACTTGTTCCAACTACAACCATAAACAGTACTTTCAACTTGTTAGAAAAATTAATAATTTCACTAAAGATCAATATCAATAATTGTCTCCCAAAATACATTTTCATACATAATCTACATAACCTATAAAAATACACAGAAAGAGTTATAAAAAAAGTACATTTATAATACATACATTTATAATAGAATTTACGTTTCTCCAAAGCAATGGAACAAAAAAGTGATTCATAATTGATTAAATTCCTGATGAAATCATCGATAACCCAGCGTAATAAATTCTCGCATGAGTATAATGCAGGAGAGTCAGTATCATCGGAGCACGAAAAGAGAAAAAAGGAAATAATCGAAGCCAGATATCTCGCACATCTCTCGCTGTCCAATCGATTATCCCCCAGATTTTTCGACACGCTGCTGTCGTTCGTAATAACCGAAACGTTGGCACGGTTGAAGGGAGTATTGAATGGCCGACCGATCACAGGCGAATAATTCAGGAAACCGGGTTCAGAAACGATGACACGAATGGTATAGGCGGGTGTGTCCGTGGTAACCCAATGGGACCCGTCTCTTAATTAAAAATCGTGAAATCCGTATCCCCCTCCCTGTCGTGTCCCTTTGTCATTCGTGCTCGTCATTCGCCGTTCCATCGAATCGAAAAAAAAAATACCCACGCATTTCTACGGGTTTTCCATGATGTCGTTGAAAAACGATCACCGAGCGCTGTTCTTTCGTTTGTATTCGCGCGTGCCAGATTTCTTTCTTTTCTGTCCACTTGCGTTGCCCTTTTTCATTATTCCCCTCTCTCGTTGCTCGTTCGCTTCTTTCGATTTCACGCTGTTCTATTTGAATTTATTGCATGAAATATTCCTGTCGTTTTTATTGTTCGCTCGTCTGAGCATTTGGAATATCTGGGGAACTTCGCGGAGAGGATTAACTGTGTTCTTTAATCCTTGTAAATTGGATTTTAATACAAGGAACGACTTTTATTCTCGTTGCGCGTGCTAGTAATCATATTTGAATTTGCCGCCATATTTATAGTTTGAGTTTACCGCCAATTTCACTGCTGATACAATTTGAATTTATCACCGATGTTACAATTTAAAACATTTTCTCATAAAATAAATTTTGTTTCAATTATACAATATCCTACAAAAATATAAATATGTTAATATATTTCTCTCGTTTAAAACAAGTGTTCAGTATCCAATTAAATATATTAAAATAAATATTCAAAGTTGCATATAAATGAAGTATTTAAGTATTTGATAATTAAATGAAGTATATAATAAAGCAATAATCAATGTTGTTAATTGTGTTTTTCAGAGTGCTACGTCTCCTGGCGCCAGCAACGATGGCCTCACGAAACAGCAATTGGAGCTCATTCAACAGATTATGCAGCAAACGCAACAGCAACAGCAGCAGCAACAGCAGTCCCAACAGCAGCGGAACAATTCGTCAACAACAGTCACAGCACAGATACAAAAAACGCAAAAACCGTCCGTCAAGTCTACGACCTCGTCCGGAAATGTTTCGAATAATTCCGGAAGTTCGAGCGCAACCAGCAATCCGAGATCCAGCCCGAAACCGAAAGTCTGGAGTCACGTACAGGTGAGTTATGTTTTTCGACGTTTCAATGTTTAATCTACGTGGTATTTGCTTGACATTTAATTTCTTTCGTTCTATTGTACAACTAACTTTGTTGTAACCGAGGACATGTCAGTTAAGTCTATCGCATTGATATTTAGGAATATTTTAAAAAATATATGTTAAGCAGTAACAATTTTAGAGAATGATAAAGTTTGGGGTATTTCATATTGAATAATGATATTAAAATAGATGTTGATAATATTAGTTTCATGTGAGAAACCGCTTATAGTAGGTTCTCGTTAAATGGCCATTAATGGAGATATTGAAATTGGCGATATACCGAATTAGAAACCGGTTTTGTTATATTACAATAATCTTCATAGAACTATAATTCTATAACGGTGGAGGGATGATCCTAGTAAAAATGTGGCAATATAACGAGAACTACAACTAGGGTTACTAATAAGTACAGCAATAACTATAACTACTATGATAGGTTCATTAATTTAAAAAATTAGAAATTTGCGGGCCTGTACATTTCACCTAAATTAGATTTGATTTCCAATGAAGCCAATCGTGATCTACAGCGTGTGTTTGACTATTGTTGATACAAGAAATACACTCGACAAACATCGACATTGTTGCCACAAGGAATTCAGTTTCCAGCCACCTAAACATATCAGCAATGCACCTAGTGTGTCGACTTAATCGATCTAATAGTAGTTACTCAGTCCACCCCTGAGACAAATTGTTTACCATTAGCTTCAATCTATATAGGTATAAGAACAATAAACGACGAGCGCAGTGCATTAGGGAGAATCAACACGTGATCTTTAATCTTTCTTATACCTCACTTTATTAACGAAGAGCAGGTTCAATTTATCTACAGTCGCCATTTGTAACTTTGCAGCCATTTAATTTTGTACTACATCATTACATAATATATCACATAATATGACATAATATATGAATATACAACTCATGTGTGATCAATACACATATGATAGTCATGTGAACTCTTAAACTACATTATTACATAATCATATACTCACAGGGTCAAATAATATATCAATGTATTATACAATTCATATGTGATCAGTACACATATGAACTCTTGAGCTTCATAATTACATAATCGAATCATAATCATATACTCACATATTCACATAATATATCAATGCACAATTCATATGTGATCAGTACACATGTGATAATCATATGAACTCTTAAACTACACAATTGCATAATCGAATCATAATCATATACTCACATATTCACATAATATATCAATGTACAATTCACATGTGATCAATACACATATGATAATCATGTGATCTCTTGTGAACTATTTATACAAAAATTTTAAGCAATCTATTTAAAATGATTTGCAACAAATTTTAACCCCATCCATTTAAAATTATTTGAAGCAGAAACTAGTTTATTTGAAATTATTTAAAGTTGACTTGAAACCATAATCATTGACAAAAGTTTGAAAGCAAAAAAGGCGATCTCCATCAAATTAAAAGATTAACAACCGCTGGCGGAATTAACCATGAAAGCTGTTCAAATATTGCTATCAGCCATCTTCCCCTCCGTTTTATGGTGTTCTTCGTGTTTCGAACGAGCCGGTGGCCAACCACCGGAACCTTCAGCACCACCTAACTTCATTACGTTAATGGCATAATAACCATTGTGGGCGGCGGAAGGGCTTATGCCCGCCGAAACGTCGATGTCCCTAAACAGAGCAAGAAGCGAGTAGCTTGAAATCGATCGGATCACCATTAATATGTATGAGATCTTTGCCGACGTCACGTTGGAGAATTAACAAAATTGGAGAAAGAAATTGTTAAAATCGGATCTATTATCAACCTTTCTCATCAAATTTCCAGCGAACCTAAAACAAATCGCTCATTAATAAAACGTTGAAGAAGCAATAATATTCGGTCGTTCCGTAAAATCGCGTCTCCCAATTTCCTGACACAATTCCGAGCATGATGACCCGCGAAAGCGAGAAGCGGAGATCGAATCAGAAAGGATTTGCAATCGCAAGTAACCCGCTCCACGGCTTCCCCTCCATTCAAATTCCAAAAGCACCTGCCCCGACTCTTTTCAATCGCGAGGCGCACAGCTGCGAACCTAACTCCTGAACGTCGACGAATATTAATAAAGAATCGGGACCGAGAAAGCAGTCGTTCGAAAATTATTCCGTCGCGAGAAGACGAGATGTTCCTCGATTATCCTTAAATCGTTTTCCCTGCTGGCTCCACTCTGCTCGACGATCTCCTCGATCGATACCGGCCAATAACAGTTACAAGTCTCCAACTTCTGTTACCACCGGGTGCCGTCACCTTTGGGTCATTTTCCTAACTTCCTACGGCAGTAATATTTAATAGCCCGAGGAAATGGATCGATATCTTAACCCTTTGGGTACGTTTAGCCATTTCTACGTTAAATACTATTTTCGCCGACAAAACTGTTAATTACTTCTACTAGGACAAAGTGGGACAGTATATAGGCTCACACTATTACCCTAATTTAACCTAATTATTTGGTAAAATTGTAACAGTATTTAAACTGCAGCTTCATACTTAAAGAATGAGTAAAGAAAACATAATCCTAAAAGGTCAGACCGCAACAAAAGGACAAACAGAAGAAAATGTTCCATGGATATTTTCTGTGTTCCAATTCCGAGGTTCGAAAAAGAAGCAAGAGAAAGGTGGAACGAAGGGAAATCCTCGATATTAACCGGTGACAGTGGCATGGGGAGGAAGCAGGAAAGGCAGGATGGTAGAATAAGGAAGAGGAGTCGCAGCTTTGCGATCGTTCGTTCTCATTAATATGTATGCACTCGGACCATCGCCGAGAAAGGGTCAGATCCGGAAAATTTCGCTTGTAAATAGAACGTTGGCAATAATAATAAATATTGCGAAAGGAAGACAGTCGAACGTGAGCTAGAATAAACTAGGAACAAATCAGTGGAGGTGTAAGATGGAGAGAATTAAATTAATATGACGATACCCTGTGGCATAGTAATGCAGGGATTTGGTTTCTACGTTGAATCTTCATGGAGACTAAAATCTGTATTTTTGATTTGTCATAATTTTGTTAAATTAGTATCAGAATTTATGAACGGAAACCCATCGGTACGTCGACACATGTAACCCTAAAATTTTAACCCTAAAACACAAGTTTAATACTTTAAATCTACAGTATCACACGTGATGTATGAGTACAGTGAAACAGACAGCAGCAATTAATAACAGAAAAATAACAACGAATGATTTCATGAAACTTTCCAACCGTAAGCTTGACAACAGGAAAAAGTCGAGTGCAAAAATTTGACATCGTCGAGAGAGGTCTGTTACAGCACTCGGTAGCTTACATGAAGAGCCGTTTCGTGTCGAATGCAATTGTACGGAAACGAAGCAGTGTAAAGAAGAATTACGGTTGTATCGTTACGTTTACAAGAGTAGAGAGACGGTAGGATGTCGAGTATCTCGACGGGGTAGAGAGAATAGGTGCAGTCCCGTTCTGTCGCGGTCGTTTGCGCTATCGTAAGTTTATGTCGTCGGTTGCAGGGCTAACCTCTGCCAGGCTCTCGCGCCCTTTTATACGACACGATAGTTTCGTCGCGAAACTGCCGCCGTTCACATCTGTTGCCTTTCCCATTACCCTGCGAACATACACCAGCCCATTTGCCGGCCGGTAAACTGAAGTGCTCTCTCAATTTCGTCCTCCTCTTTCCCTGCCACACCTTCCGCACTTTTGCGATTAACACGTCACGAAATAAATATTTGTCTCACTTACGTTTTACTATTTATTCGCTTTGCCTTCATTTAACTGGTAACCACATACTTGGACACACTTGCTATTTGGATATCATATCTTACGCGAATTTTAAGTTTAATAGGTTAGGTAGTCACGGATCACTAGATACTAAGTTGATGTAATGTTTTAACTTTTATTTGTTTTATTATTGTAGGATTGGGTAGGTAGTTCTGTGTGACGTGTTTCTTGGTACGCTTTGTCTAGTCTGGTACACTTGATGTTCACATGTGATCTTACTCAGATTTTAAGTTTAAATTCATATGTTACATAAGTTACATATACACTGATCACTAAATACAGAATTGACATAATATTTTAGCTTTCTTTATTTGTTTTTATAGCGTAGGAGTGGATGTTCAGATGTGTTATATCTTACTCGAATTTTAAGTTCAATTATAGTTTGCATACTGAAACACCGAATATTAATTTGACATAATGTTTTAACTTTCTTTATTTGTTTTAATATTGTAGCACTGGGTATACAGTTCTATGTGACGCACTTGTGACGCACTCACTGTTCAGATGTGCTTTTACTCGAATTTTGAAAACTTTAATTTGAAGTTAAATTCTATAATTTTGGTAGTCAATCTCCAAATACAAAGTTATAGCAATGGATAGATAGTTCTGTGTAACACACTTGTGACGCACTTATGACGTACTCACTGTTCAGATGTGATTTTACTCAAATTTTGAATACTTCAATTTGAAGTTAAGTCCTATAATTTTCGTAGTCAATCTCCAAATACAAAGTTACAACAATGGATAGATAGTTCTGTAACGCACCTGTGACGCACTTGTGACACACTTGTGAGGCACTCATTGTTCAGATGTGATTTTACTCGAATTTTGAATACTTCAATTTGAAGTTAAGTCTTATAATTTTCGTAGTCAATCTCCAAATACAAAGTTACAGCAATGGATAGATAGTTCTGTGACGCACCTGTGACGCACTTGTGACACACTTGTGACGCACTCACTGTTCAGATGTGATTTTACTCGAATTTTGAACACTTCAATCTGAGCTTTAAGTCCTGTTACAATTTGCATTGCGCAGTATTACTGAATAAGTTACTTCGTTAATATTAAACGTGAAACATACAAATATCGTACAGTATAGATTTTCCGTTAGCGAATTGGTGCACAGTAACGTGACCTGACAATTTTCTTGGGATTTTTATAGACTGGAACATCATACAAGCTTGTAAAATGTACATATACATGAAGTTACAGTTCATTCGCAGCTGACTGCCTCTTTCCACTGAATAAACTCGTTCCACATCGGAAAAAGGATGTTTTACAACTGTAACTGTTCATAAATGTTTGCGAGGGAAATTGCTTTGTGTCTGTTTTTTCCTTTGAGAGTGTTGAAAATTTATATTTTATCGTGGTATATTTTCTGTTGTCGATTCCGTAATTGCAACTGCAAACTAATTGCTTGACCTCAAAAGAATCTGCCATTATTTGTTTAACTATTTATTTCTACGTCGTTCGTAATTTTTTCCAGTTTCTACAAATTTTTTATTGTTAATTTAGAAATTCATGTTTAATAAAAATTAGTTCAAGTGCAAGTATAACGATTCTTCTAATTAATTTATGCTTGAGATATTAAAAATAAATCTCTGTATATATTGCATACACGTGTTTATGACAGAGAATTTATATCGATTATGTGATAGAGATTACAGATAATTACATAGGTAGGTAACAGATAAAGTCACCGAAGTAATATTTGCTCTCCTTGAATTTTAATCACCTCATTTTATTTTCAATTTCTAAAATTGTACTTCAGTGCAGTCGAGTGACACTCTTTATACTAAAATATGCTAAAACTTGTGCAGGAACTTTTAAAAATAGCTCGTTTCATTACCGCAGTTCTAAATCTGTCCACGACGAGCCGTTTGCCAAAGTTTCATCGATATCTAAACTTAAAATCTTGTGTCATCGATCTGGGTACAGTGAATTATAAAAGTATTCCAACTTCGTTAATTCTTGACTTTACGAAGTTGATATTTTATTAAAAGTAATATGAAGTTTCCATTGAAATTGTTTTTTATTGAAAATATTGCTTGCGTTAAGAATTATTGGATTTTCTAGGAAAAATAGTGATATGGGGGAAAGATATGAGAATTGAACTATTTGCAAATTTTTGCATTTATGGAATTTGTAGGTTTCTTAATTTTGTAATTTTTTGAATTTTTAGATTTGTGAAGTTTGTATATTTGCAAATTAGAAATTGAGAAATTTCTATGTTTTCTAATTTTCATTTGTTGATTTTCACATTCTTAAATTTCCACATCTTCAAATTTTCACATTACCAAATTTTCATATTCCCTAATTTCCACATTTCCTAATTTTCACATTTCCAAATTCTCACATTCCCAAATTCCCACATTTCCAAATTCTCACATTCCCTAATTCTCACATTCTCAAATTTTCACATTCCCTAATTCTCACATTCCCAAATTTCCACACTTCTAAATTCTCACATTCCCAAATTTCCACATTTCTAAATTCTCACATTCCCAAATTCCCAGATCTCCAAAATCTCACAATTAAAAATTCTCACATTCCGTAATTTCTACATTCTTGAATTCCCACATCTTCAAAATCTCACAGTTCCAAATTTTCACATTCCTACATCCCCAAATACCTAAACCTAAAAACCTCCCAATTCACATATTCCCAAACACTTAAACTCCCAAACTCCCACATTTTCTAAATTCTCCTATCCCATTCCTAAATTTTCCACCCTCAAAACCACTAAACCCACCAAATCACTAAACCTAGAAATCATTAAACCCTGTACCCTCTTTCATACATCTTTTTCTCCCAAGGAAGTCAAACCTACCCTCGACCGCGGATCCACGAAATCCTCCATCAAGTACCAACGGTCCCGTGACCCACAAAAAATGCGGAAGAAGCACACACAAGTCCCATTAGCATCTTAAAAATTTAAATCGCTGCGAATCAGGGTCGGTAAATCGAACCGGAAGCGTCTCTTTAAACTATCCAACGACTCCGCGGTTTCCCTATCAAGGACCAAGCCTTGCAAGCAAAGGGAAAAAGAAGAAGAAAACAAGGGAGTAAAAGGCGCGAACCGTGGACCAGCTGCTGGTCCAGATATTCGAGTTCAACGTTGGCAATAAAAATGATCAGAAAAGAGGCACTGGCCGAAGATTTTTCAAGGCCACCCTAATCGCCCAACGTACTAAAACACATTCGAACACGCTATTGGCCGAAAACGAAGACTTTTCCTGGCTGAATTCGAGACGGAACGTCGAGATTGGTCGCGAGTTGGTGCAACCGGGGGTCTTTTCTCGTTTCGAGAACCTGCTGGGGGTCGTTCACGACTCACTGGGGGTCGTTCGCGATTCACTGGGGGTCTTCTTCGCACACGCATTCTTTCGGGGTGACACCGGTCTGACCGGATACAAACTGTGAGAAGATACGTTGTACGAAGGAGTTTTGGGGTTAGCTTGGTATGACCCGGGGCCTTCCTCGTTGCTGGGGGCCTAACCCCTTCAGCCCGCGACTCGCCGTCGGGTTATTTAAAGGGAACGATCGTTTTTACTTCCTGTATGAGACAGTTTGAATTTTTAATGCGACCCTGCACTTGGGAACTGTGTCATCCCGAGTCGGGAACTATTTCTAATCTCGTTCAAATCTAAAGTCTAGTATAAAAATATATTTCTTTTAATAATTTTACAAAGCAAAAATTAGATTACTTTATTTGTAGAATGATAGTAAAAAATGGTATAACTTCATGAATACTTTTTTTAGATTTTAAAAATTGATGTTGAAGATGATTCACGATTGGAGAATCGTTTTAAGACCTTAACTTATACAGTTCGTCAGAGTGTGTCAAACAGGGCGACTTAATTGTTGTAACATTAAGACAGACAAAGAATGCTCAAATGTTAGAGACGTTTTTTATATGACAATCCTTGGTGAAAGAGTAGAAATTGAATCATGGTGAAAATGTGGGCCAGATTCGTCGCATTTCAATGACGCATTACGTGTGTCACGTGTTAAAGACAATATTATAAGGCTAGAGGTTAAAACATAGTAAAAATGCATCAAATATAAACTTGTTCAAAAGTAATTAAATACCTGTAACGTTTGAAGTACCCTAATTTTATGCTAAAGTTGCTCAATTTATAAAAAAGACATTTTCTGTTACTTTTGTTTTTCCAACTATTACTAGATGGCGTTAATGATAATAAACATACAAAAGTACAAAATATTTAGGATTTATATAATGTAGGATATTGGTTAAAGCTTTTTTTATTATGATATAATACATTGTAATAGTGTGAATATTAAATATTTCTGTACACTGTTTTATATTATTTGTTTGTTTTTAAAGCAAGTCCCCTTTTTCTAAAAATTTTATAGTCGTTCCTATAAGTCACGTGAATTGTGATACATCAGGAAACTGAGGGGCATAAGAATGTTTCCTTTTAGGCTTAATAATCTTTGTCTTATTCCTTTTAACAGGCAACACATTGATTATACTCGTAGTTAACTCTATAGGCATTATTGATCCAAAGAAATCTGTGACTGGGACTTTATTAGGATCCCTTCTGAACAAATCTTTCCTTACTCCTACTGTTGATAAACAATAATGCTTAGGACATACTTTGAGCTGAAAAACAACAAACATTAATTCCTTGCTTGACACATATTAATTTAAAGATTTTTTGTGCAACTTACAAATTCTCCCAAAGTTTTTGAGCTTGACGGTTCTACTTTTTCTAAAAAGTCTAATGCATAATATGTATATCTATCTATAATGTAAACACCAATGGCAGGATCCAAGTGATGCTATAAACACAAAACAATATACATAATGCGACCTAAGTAAGAGATGTAAGTAACAAGAAACAAAGTATACTTTGCTGCTTACAGAAAGTGAATCTTCCCCCACTAGACTAGAAGCTACTGCTAGAATGTTTGGAGAATAAAACTTCTCGTACATTGAACTTGCTTGGCAAGTGTCAACAATAAACAAAATTTCATGGTATCTCCACTTTTGCCACATTTGCTCCAAAGCATCACCAAGCTCTTGACTAGTAATTTCTTCAGAGTCTTGGAACTTCAATATTCCATTTCCACCGTGGCCAGTTAGATAAATCAAAATACCAGATCCCTCATCCGTTAACAGCTTCTTAGATCTTGGTGTTTCTGGAGCTAATCGGCCAGTTAATAACCTCACAAAATTCTCTACGGTAACTTCATAACCTCTATAGCCCACTTCAACATCGTCTCCGTAAACATTAATATGTTGCTTGATGTTATTGAACACAGTAGCTGGCCTAGGATTTCTTGGATTACACGCCATATCATGCCTCAAACTTCTTAGTAACCAAAACAGAGTACACATCATACACAACTATACCTACTTTTCGACCAGTTCAATCATAAACTAAAAAAAGAAAATTGATATCATAGAAGATTCGATGCTCGGTACTTATAGTTCCATTTACGGGGCGAACTCATGTCGTCGATCAAATTGATTGTTTCGCAAAGCTCGGGAAAGAACCGTGGTACGAGCATCTTCGATCGATCGTGGATGATGCCGTGTACACGGGGAACGATCGTTAATGGAAGATGTAATTGGAAAATACTTGGCGCGCCTCCGTTCGATTCGCTCTCCGTGTTTGTTTGCGATACCGTGCCAAGCCGCGGCGAGTTATTGCAAGAATCCTGCTAGTAGCCGCCATAATCCCGCGCGATATAAACTTCCTGTTCCCGGGTCCTGCAACGCTTTTACGTCGTCTGAACCCCGGGATCGATGTACCGGATGCCTGACAGCCCATCGACCTCGATGAAAGTATGCGTTTTTATGCATTCCGACTTAAAATCTGATGTTTAACCTGCCCTTTTGCGCGACGGGATTGATCGATGGCTCACTCGAGGACGAGGAGATTGCTGGGAGAAATTGGACACCGTTTTGAAATGACGTTGAGGATGATGGTAATGAAATGCTTGAGAAAAGTGCTTAAAGTATTGAGCAAGAAATTGTAGAAAATAATGTTGTGGAAGAGTTGGTACTTTTAAGAGATGTTCAATTTTGAGGGTGTTGTTGAGTTTTATGCGATATGGGAGCTGGAGAGGTGGATATGAGAGTTTAAGAATTTATGTGTATAGGGATTTAGGGATATTGATGGATATTAGAATTTTGAGATATTTCATACAGTGATTTTGGGATTTAGGTGTTTTGGAAATTTAGTCATTGAAATTTATAAATATGTGTGGAGATATGTGTAGATGTGTGAGAGAGATGTGTAGAGGTATTGCAATCTAGGGATATTAATTTTGTAACTGTAATGATCTTGAGATTATATTCCATAAATTTTGAAATAATCTAGAAGTATACGGAATAAGATCTTTCGTCAATAAAACATAATTAAAATTTTGTTATGTAATTAAAAGAAACTGCTAATTAATTAAACTTACTATTAACTTTCTTCAATATGATATTTCTCATTACCATCATCCTCAAACATGAAAGATTATAAATTTACGTTTAAAAGCAGTAATTATATAATAAAAAGAAAATATTAATTTAATCGTCCATTTCCTCCGAGCAAACACGATCGTTATACACATACTCACAAAATACATGTGTACACAGGTGTGGCACAATTCAGTGGTAATTTCGCCATACCCATTTCAACCGGAACCATATTGCCAGGATATTATCATCGCCTTTTCCATACTATTGATACATTTCTCCCACTCTCGAAACCGGAACGTTAACATTCTCCACCAATTACGAATTCAAGTACGGGGGTTAATGTTGCGTTCCGTACTCCATTATCAACTAATGTTAATAATGTGCGAAACGTATCCAAAGAACTGTGTTAGGTTATGCGTCGTAGAGGGAAATTGTACGCTGCACGAGATGTTATGCTGCTTTCCTGTTTTAGTTTATCTTGGTTTATTGTGGAGAATTTTCAAATTTGTAAATTTTTAGTTTTCAAGTTTTTAGATTTGTAAATTTTCAAGTTTTTAAATCTGCAAATTTTCAGGTTTTTAAATTTCTATATTTTCAAATTTTTAAATTTTAAATTTCCAAATTTTCCCAGTTTCCAATTTTCCACTTTTCCACTTTTGCGATTTTCCAATTCCCCCCTTTTTCCCTTTTGCCATTTTCCCATTTTCCAATTTTTCACTTTTCCACTTTTGCAATTTTCCAATTTCCCCCTTTTCCACTTTTGCCATTTTCCCATTTTCCAATTTTCTAATTTTCAAATCACAAAATCTCCGTTTTCCTTTCTCCCAAACCCCAGAATTCTAAATTTCTAAATTTCAACATTTCAAATTTCCCAAATTCCTTAATTTCCAAATCCTCAAATTTCCAAATCCCTCAAATTTCCAAATCTCCAAATTTCCCATCCTCAAAACCCTAAATTTCCAAAGCTCCAATCTCCAAATCTCAAAAATTCAAAAATTTCCAAATCTCCAAAAATTCAAATCCTCAAAGTTTCCAAATCCCAAGACTACAAACACCCATGCACCAAACATCCCCCATCGACCTCCATAGAAACATCCCTCCATAAATTCCCTCAATTGAACACCGTGAAAAATTTCTTAATTCCCAATACTTCACCCCTAACTTTCACCTCCTCCAGAACCCAGCTCCAAAATTATCTCTAACCTGAAGCCGCATCGTCCCAAAAGTGGAGGTCTTCGATTTCTAGGCAGAATATGGCCGGCGTTAGATATCCGAAGAGAAAACGATCTTCAGAGACGGATACATAATTGGGAAGAGAGTATGAGCGTACAGAAGGTAGGGGGTGGGTGACGATGACTCGCACGTGGGCTACAAAGCTCGTCGAGAATACTCTTGAAAGTGAATACTGGTATCCAATTGCAAGTGCCAGCCGCGTCTCTAGTTGTTCAAAGTGTGCATAACAGCCGAGTAAGGGTAGGGAACTAATTGGCAGGTTGCTCTCAAGAACATAAATAGGAGGCGAGAGGTTCGAGAACCAGAGGAACAACCGGAAGGGGTTGGGGGTGGTAGCTTTCAGAGAGGAGGAATAGAAGGCCTCCGGGGAGTCTCGTTGACGAAGTGCCTCGGCTTTGAAGCCTGCCATTTTTACCGGACCGACGGAGAATGCGAATATTGGATAACGGCCGTGTGGACGTATCGATTTGGACCCGTGCAAGATAAATGTTGCGAATATCTTCAACGTTTGGATCAGAACTTCCTATCTTATTAATATTTTGATGCATACTCTATATTGTAGTCGCGTTAACTGATCGTTACACTCCCTCCGTAAATGAGCTGTCCACATCTGTTCGGGAAATTGATTATCGAGAAGCGAACCATTGATAACATATGTCGTATGGCGAACTTGATTAATGCGATCGCAGCTGAGAACTGTATATGCTTATAGTGTACAATATTTATTCATTAATTAATAATCTAGAAACTGGAGTATTATATGTAGTATACGAAGTTCTGAGCGATTATCACAATCAAACATTTTGAAAGCTTCTCCAGATTTGGGTAAGTGGAAAAATACTGCCTCTCACCGTAACTGAGCGCATTCAGAACGGACGGATCACTTATCGTGACCTTAATATTACAGTTAGATACTGCATTTTTTGCCCTAGGTATTTTATTTTGGGTCAACATTTCAGAAGCGTCTACTACTTTTAGAAGTACTTTATACAGTAAAATTAGTTAATCCAGGAATGATCTGTTGAGGACAAATATTTTGCAACAGTGCTGATCATGTAGTTGTAGGTTGGACTGTATATATGTTTATAGTATATGAAATTTATTTCTAAATTTGTAGTACACAGTATACAGATATAATACTCCAGCATTTTTAAGTTTGGTTCTCGAAAACTACCACCCCTCGCGGTAACTGCGCGGTCAGAACCAACGACGATCAGTTAACGCGAACTTATTGCATTGGCATAGTAAGACATACATATTTTTTGTTTTATATGTTTCATCTTATCTAGCTTTCTTATTTTTATGATTTCTAAACTATGTGAGTAGTTTTTCCCTGTTTATTCTTCTAATAGGTAACTAATAATAAATCATTGGGTGTATTAAAAAATACATATATTACAGTACTATATTGATTATTGGTACACGCTGAAAAATGTATATATTGAAATTATGTTGAAAAACATAGTGTTGAAGTATGCTATATTATATTTATTAATGGCATATTCGAATAATATATTTAATATTTGAATATCTAAAATAATATTATTTAATAATAATAAATAATATTTGAATATTTAAAAATGACTTTACGTGTCTACATTCAGCAGTTCATTCTTCCGCATAATACACATTATCTAAATATCGATGTAGCCATTGAATCCCCTATTCACCTAAATTAACAGTAAAAAACTTCATTTCCCATTGATAAGCCCGCGTCAGTATAAAAATCTCGTTCAATTTCTGTCCTGAATGAATTATCATGAAACTGAATACGATCATTCTTCGGCGTTCATTAATAACGTCCCGTAGCCGAGTTTTTCGTAGCAGAAAGAACGTCAAAGAGCATCGAACTGATGTATATTCGTCATGAAATGGAATTGCCAGGGGATCGCACGGATAAAAAGCGACCGCGTATTACCGGGGTACGATCGATAAATTTAACCAATTCGAAGCGGCGCTTTATGGACCTGTTATACCGCCGCTATCGTAATTATCTTCATTTCGAATTTATACGTACGCTCGTCGAGATCCTTTAATCTTCTCGCGTCCCGTCCACGAATTATCATAACGCTCCTCGTCGAGTTATTAATCCACGACTGAAAACGTTCGCCGGTCTCGTATCAGCGAAGAATTTGACGTTTCTGAATGGCGGAAAGCTTAACACTTCCCCAACTAATGTCCTCGTTACTTTGATAAAATTAATGGAATGCTTCTCAACGATAACGTGATTCTCTTGCTTAAGTGTCATCCCGCTTGTAAGGTCTCATCACTTTTAACCCTTTAATTTTTATATATATGTGTTTATACATTTTTAATTATTTTTCCTTGACTTGTATAACATATTGTATAAACGAAAAATATTTCACCACAAAAATGTCTCTTCTCTTCAAAGTGTATTTAAAAAAATGTCTAACCTTCAGTATAATGACGTGACAGTATAGCAAGCTTTGCTACAATCATTTTCATATAATGAAAATATTGTTATCTTACCAGAAATACAATTTTGTATAAAAACAACGGTACCTGCATTCCCAAAATATCTTCCCTGCATCAAGCAAGAAAATGCATAAAACCTTGCGCATAATTAAGACATGCCCAACGTTCGAATAACAAGCGTGCATTTACGATTCCCTAATGATCCGCGTAAT